AAATTGTTGCCACCTCTTTAATAAATGGTTCTAAGTGAACCGACACAGTTCCCAGAGCTTTAGAAAAACTCATTATGCAAATGAAGATACTGATGATAGACGGTAACGTTTCACAGGATGCTATTTCTTATTATATCAGTAAGCACCAAGTTAAGTGCCAAGACAGCCCCATTGTCCCATGATTTATCATGTAAAATTTAGAACTTGAATGCACAACGAAAGTCCACGAAGTTTGCATTTAATTCACAAGAAGACAGTTTCAAAAATGGCTCTTAAAATACCTTTACATTTCAAATGGGCTTTCGCACACTCCCCCACACACCTCCAAGAGGACTGCTTTAGGATGGACCACACCTAGATATGAGAAAGATCTTTCAGAAGGACGACTTCCACGTCCTCTGGGAATCCTCTGCAGTCGGTATCAGCCAACTGCCGCAGCCCCCTCGAGAGCGTGGTGCCCTGTCCTACCACCCTGGTAAGCTGCAGGGGAGTGGGGGAGGACGAAAGTATCCCCATGTCTCCCAGCTGCTGCTCAGCACCTCACCTGATGAGATCTTTAAAATGTGCCGCCCCTCACCAAGCCCGAACGTGGAGCCGCTTACGGTCCCACAGAGCCCCCGGCTGAACTCAGCCGGGCTGCTGGTGCTACCGGCTGCTCTGGCCTGCACCGAGGGACCAGAAACACCATGGGGACCCCATGGCCACCAGAGGCCCCGGGGCTGCCACCATGCTCTTTCCCCACGTAACCCTGAGGATGGGCGGCAGGGCAGCGTGGATTTGGCTCCGCTCGCCCGGTGCCATGGAGGGAGTTGCCTTTCTTGCAGCAAGCAGCGGGCAGCTAAAAGGCTAAGCCACCTTTGCAGCTGTTTTAGCAGAAATCAGCCAGAAGAAGGGTGAGGCAACAGTCCAAAAAAAGCAAGGCAGCAGAGAAGAAGACCCCGTACCTTCTGATTCAGAACAAAATTACAGACTATCCATGCCTCAAAGACTACGTGGTAATGTGCTCCTTGCAAAAGTCCCAGGCTGCAGAAACAATCCCACCAGGGAACAGAGGCACCATTTTCCTTCAATAACTTCTCCTCCCTTAAAGCTGATGATGTCAACCCTTGTCACCTGTATCCTGATTTCACAGTGAGACTCACCTCATTTCAAGCAATCGGATTTGAATACTGATGGTCTAAAAACAAATTACCATTTATTTTTGGCTTTCCCAGTTTTCAGGAACACCATCAACAGCTACTGCAGTTGTCAGTGTGAGCTCCTGCCATGCTCTGCCTCTCGTTTCCCCTTCGCAAGTACAACTGAAAGGTTGCTTTCTCTAGCACATGGATACACCTCTCAGAGTGGATCGGGATGTTCTTAATACGGTACTTTCACCAGTAATCAGTTGGAAGAACTCAATTTTAGAAACAGAATTCGTGTGCAAAGCGTGCAACAAGAAATACAGTTTACATTTGGTCATAGTGTCCTATCATCTTAGTTATGCTACCATGACTCACACGGATTAGTATACTTACACACACACACACACGCACGCGCGCACACACACACGTACACACACATATATACACGCTCACACAATAAGAAAATGTCTAAGTCTGACAATATTTCCTCCTCTTTTAGTGAAGACGGGAGTTTGGCATCTCAGGCTCTGAATCTGCTTAAACCTGGGATACAGGAATGCGACACACTTCAAGTATACATCGACTGCACAGTGATAACATCACACATTGAGTCTGACACATGCTGTCTTCAGTGGTCCAGCACCAGCATATGCCTTAGAACCAGATGCCTGTTAAAGGAGCCAATATCCGGGACCTTCACTTTTCAGTGTTCGTATTCATGCAACGCCCAAGAGCAGGGCAATAGTCTCTACAACCATAAACGTCCTTCTGTATAAACGCAGTGGTATTTAAAAGTCTGAACCAGTGCATTCCTCTCTTACATTCCTCCTCTATTCCTTTGTTGCTGTTACTCTCGTATGCATGTGAAAGTAAAAGGTAGTGGGGAAATAATTTTAGTAGAAGAACACAAAGCCTCTCCCCTAAGTCCACAGAAGACCACTAAAAGTGTAAAATTTCCAAAATAGCTCATAGGAATTCTTCAAATACAGGAAGTGTTTTCAATGGGGTTTACATATCACGTTTCACATTATTTCCACGGAAGTCTACCTTATCACTTTGTTTAATCAGACAAATATCAATAACACATAATAAAACAGCATACAATTCACGGGACACGACACGTTTTACAAAACCTCTAGAACTCAGCACTGCCGCTTTTGGAAAAAATCAAAAACTCCTATTACTTACAGACATGAAATACACTTCACATTGAAATGAACAGCATGATTACAAGGCTTTTTTCTTATTTGATGGTATTGGTTTAGGATACAATAGTTTTCAATTAGGTTTCACACAATTTTTCTTCACGCCCCCAAAAGGAACCATTGCTAACCTGGTATTTTCTCTGTGCTCTTTCAGGAAACTTACTATTATTCAGTAAACACTTTTTGAGAAAAGAACTTTTGAAAATTTAGCTTGAATCCCTAATTGTAAAACCTGAAGAACTGGCTGATGGTAATGCTCTTAACACAATCATCGCTCAGCTTACAATGACAAACCAAAAAAATATTACAGGAGGGTACAAACACGTTAAGCCACGGGTTTGGTTTTCTCTGTTGTTGATTTTTATTTTTAAACTAACTCCTTTTTCTCACAACGCTGAGAAGTCTCTGACTTACAACGCTTCAGCAGTCGTGTCTGTGGAGACAGACATGGTAACTTTGGCAATCTTAACTGTGCTCTTAATGCAGCTCTCGGCAGCCCTGTGCACGTTCCCCGCGTTGTTGGCGTGTTTGTGCTGGCAGTCAGACTCCATGCTGTTATCGAGGGGCTGTGCGGTTCCTTCGCAGGTGGGGAACATGCTGCGGAAGGCGTGTCGCAAGTCCTTGCTCCTCAGAGCGTAGATGATGGGATTCACTGTCGAATTCAGCAAACAGAGCATGCTACAGAAGGCAAAGACAGTCTTGATGAGCTTGTTCATTTTCCCAAAGACATCGTACACCATGATGGCGAGGAGAGGGCCCCAGCATATGATTAAAACGACTAGGATAAGGACCAAGGTTTTGGCTAACCTGATGTCCATACGAGTTTGATCAGGCCTAGTGATCTGTACCTTACCATCCTCGGTCGACTGAATGATTATGCTTTTCTGCGTGCCCCGCTGAATCATGCGAACAGCGTGGCTGTGAGCCTTCCACAGTATGTACATGTAGGCATAGACAATGAACAGCAAGAGAACGCTGGTGACCCCAATCCAGAACATCAGGTACGTCTCGTCGATGAGAGGGAATATGTCCGAACAAACGGAATTGAGCTTTTTGCAGTTCCAGCCGAGCAGAGGAAGAACGGCTATTACAATAGCGATGGTCCACATCACACAAAACGCTACGACAGCCTTTGGTCGGGTAACAATCCTTTTGTAAGCTAGCGGCCTGTGTATAGATATGTACCGGTCTATTGCCGTGAGGAAAAGGCTACCTACAGAGGCGGTGAAGGAGGCTGTAACTCCACCCAGTTTGAACAAGAAGACGTTGGGGCTGTCCTTCCGGTGGAAAACATGGAAATCCACAAAACTGTAGACAAAAATCACGCTGCCCAGGAGGTCGGCCACAGCCAGGCTGCCGATGAAATGGTAGGAGGGTCTACACCGGAGGCTTCGGGAGTGGAGGATGACGCACAGGACGAGGAGGTTCTCTAGGACTGTGAAGGTGCCCAGGGTGAGCGACAGCACAGCAATGGCCAGCTGCTGGCTGGGGTTCAGGATCATAAAGCACTCCATATCCATGAAGTTCTCCCCACACTGTATGTTCTCCTCATTATCCTTAAACGTGGACAGGGACTTGTTGTAAAACTCTGTGATGTTGACCTGATCTGAGGGAATAATGCTCAAGAGGGGATCATCTCCCGCAGTCATTTTTTCTTGGAAAGGATCACCCCTGAAGGAAGAGAGAGGGAACTTCTGGGGATAGTATCCCAGCTTGGATGCCATGTCGCCTTTCATGTCTTCGTACTGGATATCGTTGGAGCCCACGTAAAGGAGATCTGTTGTGATTGTTCGGAAAGTTGTATCTGCGAGGCCATCTAGGATTGACTTCATAACCCCAGTCTTGTCGGTTTCAGAGAGACTTGGGGGAGGGAATAATGCATCGGAGGATATCCTAGAAGGGGAAAAGATCAGATTTCGTTAAGATAAACAGGGAGATACACTCCACAAACAACTCAGTTGAACTGTGTCAAATGAAATCGACCTTTCTCTTGCATTCAGTGCAGGCCTAGCCTTTGCCACCTGTGGGAATCAGGGTGAGTCGAGCACTTAGAAAGAAATCACCTGGATTTCACTAAAACCGAATTACGCTATGAAGTGATGCGAAAACCAGAACCGCAGGGAATTGAGTATTCCACAGGAAAGTAATTTTCATTTCTCATCACAACCTTCCGAGCTGCTTCACCAGAAAGATATTTTTCTCTAGATCTGATCTTGGCTTCTGATTGCAAAGTACCTTGCAGACCAATATTCCTTGGGCTTGCTTCAGTTAGATAATACCAAGTGCCACTGCAGGAGCAGCATTAAACTGAATCATCACCTTCATTGCTTTTCTTTCAAAAGGTACCAAGGGTTTTGAAAACCTGACAGAGAGGGAACGGGGCATGCACTCTAAGTTTCACAGCTCACCCAGAATGCTCGTATATTCACATTACAGCAATCTGAGGTCTACTAACATCCTGAATTTGTTATTGTAAATTTATTAGCAAGGTGCTTCTTCTACAGATGTAGGGATCTGGATATAGTTTCATTGCTCTATTCCTTCCTTCTGCTAAGAAAAGCAAGGTAACTGGGACATTTGGGCTGTATGGGGGAGGTGGGTTGCTACCCAGCCCTAGCCACAGTTTCAGTGAGTGCACACAGGTCCACAAGTCAGTGAGTGCATCCATTCTGCATGGATCAGAACCCTCAACCAAAGCAGTTCATGCTTGTCTAGAAAAACATGGCACCAAGTTTGGGTCAGAGTGCAGCTCTGGCCAAAACTCCAGGCAAAAGGGACCAGGAATCACTGCTCCTGTGAGAAGTATGGAAATGAAGAAAAGCAAGGTAATTGGGACATTTGGGCTGTATGGGGGAGGTGGGTTGCTACCCAGCCCTAGCCACAGTTTCAGTGAGTGCACACAGGTCCACAAGTCAGTGAGTGCATCCATTCTGCATGGATCAGAACCCTCAACCAAAGCAGTTCATGCTTGTCTAGAAAAACATGGCACCAAGTTTGGGTCAGAGTGCAGCTCTGGCCAAAACTCCAGGAATACTGCTCCTGTGAGCAGCATGGAAATGTAACTTGTCCCATTGGGGACACCCTCAAAAATACTCTGTCCCCATGTAGCCAGTGGTCTCTGAGTCCTGTCGTGCCCTGCCTTTGCTTGTGGATGGTGATTAATTGCAGGGTATAGCTCCTGGTCAGGGTACCGTTGGGAGAGCACCCTCATCAGCATCTGAGCATCTTATTCACATCGACATCTAAGACAGGTCCTACAGCTCTTCCTATGCTGTGCTCTTTTATACAGCTTTGCCCATACAACATGCCTTGAATATGAATTGAACATCTGCTTTAGGGCCCCCTTCCACCACCACAGTGGCTGACAGTGGTAGGGATATAAGAGCCAGAATCATTGCTTTGGTGTGCTACAGTTACTCTGCAGCTGCTGTAGGACATCTGGGTAATTACATCAGAATAGGAGCAAACCCGAACTTTTTCATGCTTTTAGAATGGAGGAAATTGTTTGTGACACCCAAGAAGTCCCAGATGCCATATGTAGGCTTGTACTGACTTAACCTGTTCACTTTACACAACTGACAATAAATGGCTAGAAGGGCCATGACAGATTATCTGCCAAAACCCTGAATACTGATCACCTCAACTCCTAAAGAGATTTGCAGAGTAGGTACCAGAGCTCAGATTTCCCATGAAAACTAAAAGAAAGTAGAAAAGGATTCCTCTCTACAACAATACCAATACTGAAAACCAGAAGAAACCATGAGCATTTCCAAAAGAAACAGAGATCATTTGGCTGGTGAGATATTTATACTGCACTTATACTTGGTATCTGAACACTCAAGACTTTTTCCATAGTTCTTTAAAGTTCTTCATTTAATTCATCAGGCCTGAACATTGAGTATTAAAGGGAATATATGAACCTAGTCCTTCAGAAGACACTGCAACTCCAGCGCTGCAAACAAGGATGAGTATAAACAACTCTTCCCGGGATAGTCTAACACACAACACTGATACTTGCTGTGTCAGCTTTTGCTGACATTGTTGCTCAGCAAATAATAACATAATTATTAGACAGATAATCTTAAAATATATTAAGGAATTTAATTTTGAGAGTTTGAGCAGTGAGGGAGGGAAATGTTACTGAAGCATACATTAAAAATGAACAGCAATAATCTAATACATAAGGTACTTTTCTTCCAGAAGGTGCTTTACAGCTGTTCCCAGTAGAATTTGCAGATGTTATATGATGCAAAGATGACCGTGCTGTCAACTGACAAATCTGCTTTGGGTGACACCTCGCAACTTTAAACTTTGCATTATAACACCAGTTTAAAAGCAGATGTGAAGAATGTGTTATTCATTTGAAAACTACCCCAAAGAAATTTAAATAATCAAGTACTTTAAAAAACATGTAAAGATGCCTCTGTTACTCCAGAAGACAGACAACCATTTGAACGATTAAAGCCACAGCCCCATGTCGAGAAGATTACATTTGAGTAAAGCTTCAAAAATTGTATGCAACTGAGCACTTCTGCTAGACAGACAAACAAATTGTTATGAGGTAGCTAGTCCCTGCTGGAGTCATGTTAAGTATAGACTTCCTCAGAATAAGGTGCAAGCCGCCGTGCAACCCCTACCTTTATTTGAAATACAAATGAAAGAACATGAATTCCTGCGTGCTCTTTTGAAGGTGGCAGTGAGTTATGTGTCAATATCACTATGCATGCATATGCTATGCTAACAACATGGTTAATGGGATCAGGAGAGGCAAGTCTTACTCTGAATTTCAATGATTTTTTTTCCCTCTGTATTTTTACATTGAGATTATTACAGTAATTTCCACCTTATTGTCTCTGCAAAGAGAGTCTTCTTTGAGAGTACTTGGGAGTTCATTAGTGGTGTAGTTTAAGCTTTGGGGTATGCAGCTGACATTAATTTTGTTTTTGTTTGCTGCTGGGAATATCATAATTGGAAATTTCTAGCAGTATGTGTGCATGCACCTATTCAAGTAGCAGTTGATTTTTATTAAAGTTGCAGTAAAACAGCCATTCGCCTGATCTGGAATTGCACTTTACTGGAATTTCGTTTATTTTAATTTAGATACTAGCTTGTCCCGGTATAAGCGACACTACTGAAACGCACTGAAGTGATCAGTGAGGCTTTCCATGGCTGCCTAGTGAAAAGAAGACCAGACCTTTGGCACTGACGTTATCAGAAGAGTCCAGGTCACAGTCTGAGGTGTTGCACGATTTGACGTGGATCAAAAAGCCGATGGCAGAAGCAGTGGTCTGGTGCCTGGTCTTGCAATTTGGTCAGTGTCACACAAATTTTAGCCCTGAGCTCTTCTGTGCGAACTCGGAGTGGCAAGCAGGCACTGCCCACAAGAACAGGACACCCTACACCATGTGGCCACACTGCCCTTTGCAAACCCATACCGCCCAAGACCCATGACCACCTCTACGTGAAATACCCTGGGAGCCTCTGTGGCTTCTCACAGCCTCCCTAGAGAACCAGGTTCCCTGCACAGATCCCTCCTCTCTGGATAGGGCTGGGGTGATGGCCATGTGTTGCAGGACGGTCCCCTCACAGGCTGGGCGGAAGCAAGGAAGAGCCTCCCAGCTCTGCCAAAATCTACTCTTCCAACAGAGCCTTTGAGTCTCCAAAGCTCTCATCTTCATCCCTTCCTTAAATGAGCTCTACTACCTCACTCATTTTAAAACAGCATTAAAAAGAACTGAAACATTGATTAAAGATGAGGAAGAGCCTGCGCTAATGCCGGCACTCATAATTTTTGATGTATTTCCATGACTGCATGCAGCAATTCACAGTAAGTAATGAATTATGATTATGGATAAGGATTAAACAATAGATAAAAGTTTCAAGCATTGTTTATCTTGAAGACCAAAACCAGAAAACCCATGGCTGAACACCATGTTAGACTTTTCTCCCATCAACCAGCAGCCGTTGATGGCCATTGCCAGACCAGCTGTGCAAAGGGACTGCCACTAGATGGAGTGGCTTTTACAAACACACGGCTTAGCTGTCTGCAAAGACCTGGATTTAACTTAATCTAGCCCTTTTTTCCAGCCTGCTTTACCGGGGTTCAAATATAGCAGGTGTTAAACATCAGCTGAAGATTGAAGACACAACTTTGTAAGGCTTTGCCCTCAAAGTGAAAGAATTAGTGAAGATTTGGAGGCAAAACTTACTACTGCCCTCCACTGTGTCGTTACATACAGCCTTAAAAGAAGCTTGGATCCCATCAGAACATAGACCTCTTAGGTAAAATATAAAATCGATAATACATAAAAGGCTGGTAACTCACCTTGGACAACAGAGAGAATTATACCTCCCCATGACTTCTAGTTGGTCCGCAGGACCAGTTCACTCGGAGAAGAAGAATGTGACTTCATTAAAATGCTATTACCTATCTTCTCCTGCTGTTCTAGGGCAGAGGGAGGACCAGAAAGTTTTTATAGTCGTCTAAAAAAAGGGATGAATTTATTATAATTTTCAAACCAGGATGATTGATAGAGCAATTTTAATAGCCTGAATAGAAACAGTGAATATTTACATTCTTCCTCGGAAAGTAATTATGAGCAATACAATGATGCTACTGATAACTGCAAAAATGTTGAAGTGGCAGGAAAAGGATTCAAAAACAAGAAAGGGAAATCCACAATCAAATCTTTCTAGCTTCTATTTTAGAAAATATTTTGATCTCCGTGTCTATACATTTCTTCTATGATACCCACAGCTAATTAAGAACAGGCTAAAGGACAAGTAGGTATAATTGAAACACAGTTTCTGAATGCACAAAATTATGTAAATACATTCTCCTTGCATACACCTTATAAGGCTTGTAAGTCCTTCAGAGAAGGGCTTTATCTTCCAATAAGTTTGCACAGTGCCCAGTACACTGGGACTCCTACCAAACTGGGTCCACAAGGTACTACCACAGGAGAAACAGCAGTAATTTATACCCATGTGTAGTCAGCTGGAAAAGTGTGAGAGAAATGAGATCTACCATAGTAACTGTTGGCCTCCAGGAATTAGAACTGTCCTATAAAATGAAAATTTATATGGCTAATAATTACCTTATCCCATATGGCGATGAACAATACTGCTTCGAGGACAGAACAAGGTTTCTAAGCCTTGGAGAAAGAAACGCGCAGTCTGAGAAATGGCACTCTAAGGCTCAGCAACACCGAGCAAGAAAAAAACATGTTGACAAGAATGTGAAAGTGATGTTACCCTATCCTGTTTACTGTTTTACTATTCCATCTCCAACACAGTACTACTCCTAGGCTATAAATGGCAAATAACGCCATCACTCCTGTTTCAGGAAAACTTGCATTCACTTCAGGGGAATTTTCTCTGTGTGAGGGATGGGGAAGGAGCAAATGAGGGATGCTGTCTTCTAGTTACAGCAAGGCACTATCAGCTACGGGGTAAACTAGGGCATACAAGTACTCAACCAAATTTTGTTCTTAAATAACATGATGATATCTATTGCAAGTTGAACCTTAATTAGCAAGAAACCACAGCTACATGGTTATTTATGTTAATTAACATACCGTTTGCACACTAGCAGGATAGGGGCTGGATTGTTCTAATTTGGGGGCAAACTGCCCCTATGTGACACCGCCCAGCATCCAGCAGCTGGCAATCTGAACGACAAAAACAAAACAAGGAGGGAAACAAAGCATTAATCAGTGACCAACGATGTCTTTTAAAGAAATAACGTTATTTCCTCCCTCCAAAGTTTTGTTGGTGAGATGTATGTATCAGTTTTAGCACAGGTGACTTGCAGGCACAGAGAAAAAGAGGCTGCGTCTTACCTCTCAGACAGCCAGGGCATATGCGTGTGTCTAAGATGAGAGAGTTTCAAAAGCGAAGTTGAAGTCCTGCTCTGTTTGGTGCAGGCGAAGGACTCCAACATGGCTCTCCTGCGAGCCAGGTGAGTGTGCTGGCCACCTCTCCATCCTGCTGCTCATCCCTAAACTGTTCAAGTTGTTCCATGTTGGATCAAGTGTTGAACAGCAGGAAATAAAAGCGCCAGGGTGCATGCCTGGTAGGTGAGGGGCTTAGTTTGAAGCCCTTTCTTGGAATTAGGCAAGCCAAGGACGTGTCTCCCACATCCCACCCAGCTGCAGGGGGAAGAACAGGAACAGCTGCCCCTCCTGCCTGTGAAAAGCCTCCAAAGCTCCTGAGTTCACCCAAAACCCCTCAGCTTGTGAAATACAACCCCCTACACACACATTTCCTACCAAGTATTGAAGGCACAAACCAGCAAGGGGACCAGCAGGGTCACGTTAGTGGGAAACTACAGCTACCTGGTCTGCCTGGCTTTTGGGAGAAAGGAGGGAAGGCAGAGGTGGTTTTCTTAAAACAGTAAAAATACAGTATGAACATGGGATTTTAATATCTTTCACAGTTTACTTCATACATCTTAGTTTCATTTAAAGACATAGTTTTGGGAGAGGACGAAGAGGTTTACTGAAGTATGAAAGGCTCAGATGAAAGGGAAACACTGAAGCAAGAGTGACCCGGTATTTGCTTAAAATCACCTCCAGTTTAAGGACTGATTTCCCAATAAAGCAGAATGAGCAGGTAATACGAAAAGTTTGATACAATGCTATGGTATTTACATTTTAAAGAAAATGGAAAAGAACTCATTAAGCTGCCCAATTTCGAACTCTCCAACTTTTCCTTTTTCACAAAAGGGTTTATCTTGGATTTCAGTATTCCAACAAAAATTGCTTCATTTCCTGCCTCTTTTCTAGCCATTCTCTAATGCCAAAAGGTGCTGGCACTTATTACTGCTGAGCAGAATTGACATAAATGTTAAATGGAGACAGAGAAGCCCAGCCAGGTGCAAAAGAGATGGGGGCTGAACACTCAATCTCTTGGAAGTACCTAGAGGAGACAGCAGCTCAGCACACAAGGTGTAGCTGAAGGGAGAGAAGTCATTTGAAAGAGCAGAGCAGGACATAAAAGACTCAGACTCCAACGGATGCTAAATGCTAAAGGTCCCCAGAAGAACGTAACATCTAGAGGATGAAACTGAGGGAAAAACACATTTATTAGGGAAAAAAAAAAAAGAGATTACCACTCCGAGAAAACAGTTTCCATGTAACGGCCAGAGCAGAACAAAAAAGGTCAAGAATTTGTTGCAGCAAAAAATATTAGTGAACTTTATTAAAAGAGTGAGGATTAGAGACAGAAGGGTAGCAAAAGCATCAGGCTCCAGGGAGTACTCTCATAAACTGCACGGAGTGCATATCCACCTCCTCCTCCCCCTGCAACAAACTGTGGCTGTAACAAGTTTTAATCAAAGACTTTGTGAGATAGCAAGGAGATGCTGAGAGCAAAAGTAATGTGGTTAAGTGATTGGTGTGAAGGGGATTGGGAGGAGAGAGGAGAGGTAACTACTGTCCTCATACAGGGAATAGGACGTCTGCAGGTGAGATGGGAGCAAACTGGGGAAAGGTAAGAGAGGAAGACCCAAGTGGAAGGAGCCCCTGGGAGGCAGGGGATGCAGATTTTTGGGAAAGAGAAGCATTGTCTTTGTGATTGGCTTGGGGAAAGCAGATGAGGTGAAGGAGAAAATTCACGAGAGAAAGTCTCCCTCCTCTTCTGAGCGACATGAACTTCAGAGACACCTCCATAAACTGAAGGATATAGCTAGCGGGATTTTCAGATCTCACTGTAAAGAAAGAACAGACCCACTGCTCTGCAGGCAATGACTTGCTCTTTTGAAAGTCCATTTCTGATCTGTATTCAAACGGCAAAGGAAGATGCAAAGGGCTCTGAGAAGCCATCCTCAGTAAGGTCACAGGAAAGGACAGCGCTGTACGCACTGACACATGGGACCGAGCTGGGAACACTCAAGAGAGATCAGTTGAACAAATCTGACCAGGGACATGAATAAAAATCAAACTGCTTAAGGAAAATGAAGTACAGAAGATGAACCTCAGAAGTGGGAAGGAAGAGAGAGTGCTCAAATGGAGCCACTGAGTGACCCACACAGCGGATAAACATACCGAAAGGGGAAAAGGGAAGATGGGTTTACAGACGATGGCAGAAAGTTAGTGCGCAGAAGGTCAGCAACACATTGCAAAGCAACATACCTTCTACTTCAGTCCTCAGGAGTCTACTTCTCCCAAAAATTGTTACTGGGCCACCAAGCATTGGCAGTGCTCAGAAGCTAGGACAGAAAGGCTTTTGGTAAATGTGATGTCCCACGCCATCAGCATTAGCGAAGGACGAAAATATGCACTCCAATTAAAAAATGTAAAACATTCTTTCATTTCTGGAGCTGTCTGGCCTTTCATAAAATTTAAATAAGCTCAGATAACTCTCTTCATAGCTACATTCAGAATATAATGATATTCAAATATACTGCCTTCACACACACAAACAACTTGTGAAATTATTTGCCAGCATATTAAGCCACTACACCAGATTGCTTGGCAATGGTGCATGTCTTCAAAATATGCAGATGCTTTTCTGTTTTAAAAAAAGGAGAGAGGGAGAGAAGAGGAGAAGTGAGAAAGAATTACAGCGGAATCTGATATCCAAGTAGCCAGAACAACAAACTGCGGATAGACTCCAACCAATATTACAACAGATTTGGAGAAACAGTTAAAAGATACTGTGGGATGAGTTATGACTTCTTATTTCTGTGTATATGTGTATACATATATATATATTTATATGCATAAACTTATAGACAGACATACACAGACACACACACATGCCTAGAGGAACAACTATGCGAAGTCTCACAAACGCTGCAGTAGTGTTTGTCATGCGTAAACTCAGATTCCCAGTGCCAGAGGACAAGCAGATAAGCTAGAAGTGTAGGTACAAAAAATATAGGCAAGATGACTACTGAATATCTTTTTTAATTCCCTTATATACAGCCTTCCTGGGGAAAAGCAAGAATCTAAGACGAGTACTTCTATCACTGAGATCCTGTAAAAATTATTTTGCATGTATATATACATATAGGTACCTACATACACACTCCAAACCTATGCCACCTGATTTTCCAGGCACACACATAGTCTGGACTCCAGTACCACACTGTTTGAAACAGAGGCAGAACTAACTAAACCCAGCAATTTCTGAGAGCATGTTTCACACATTCACCACAATGGGAAGGCAGGAGCCCCTCAAGCCCCTAAGCACAGATTTTGAAAGATTTCCTAAAATGCAGAAATATGAAAATGACTCCAGTGAGGACTCTGAAAGCGAACTAACAGTATTCCCTATGGAACTGCTCCTCCTCAGTACTTCGTAGTGAGTAAATACGCCTTTCTTAAGAATATACAATTGCCATAAAGCAGGTTAACACAGGATGAGGTATTATTTGATGCCATCTAGCCTTCATCTACACAAACAAGACAACATCTGAAACATATAAAACATCCAGTTTCACCAACAGTCTGGCCAAAGTATAAGGAGTGACATTATACTAACACACACGTAGTGAAATATCCGATTTATCTGTAATTTGGATGAGGGTAGCTTGATCAAAAAAGGATGGTCCTACTGAAGAGAGGCAGAACCCGGCTTGGTGTGTGCATCACCATAATGCCCCTGCATGAGGCACAAACAGGAGAAAAAAAAGTGCTCCAACCTTGTGTTGCAAACCCAACCATTTTTCATGGGAAACAATGGCACCTTCGGGAAAAAGAATTAAAAAAAAAAAAAAAATTCTTTCTAACGAGAAATTGATTTATAAGTCATTATAACCATTTCAAAAGGACAGGTCGTGGCTGGTTTCAGTGATCATTAACAAAGCCACGCACTTTCAAAGAGCCTGAGTTCTGGGGTGCAAATTCTTATCCCACTGACAGTGATCGGATATGCACTTTTTGCAGCAGTACAGTGTCAGTCGAGAAATGGAGACGTAAAGAGCAGTACTCAGAAGACAGGTTGTCACATTTTTAACTTTGCATTAATAACAAATGCTGTCGCTGTCTATTCTGGCACATTTGCAAGCTTGCTTTTAAGTACGAGGGGCTGGCATGCACTTCCACTATAGATAGGAAAACAAGAGCAGCCTTGTTATGATTAAAAGGGTCTATTTCCCTCTGCCTTCTGTCTTCTGTGTCCATCTGCACAGCTGCTTTGAACTTGGCCAAATCCCAGTGTTAGGGTCGTCCGCAGTACCTATTTTAAATCAGCAGCAGACTGTGTGAATTTGCTGCTAGAGAAGAGAAAAATCTCCAAATTTTCACGTAAATGGTCAACGATTGGTTCTGTAAAGCATTCATCATTTTACATAGCCTAAACTATTTGGGAAATTGTAGCAAAAAATACCTAAAATCATTTACTGTTTCAGGAGGAGACTTGAATAAAGTCAATATAGACGTCTGCAAAGAAATGAAGAGCAATCACTGCTAAGAAAAATGAATTCTGCGGATGCCGAGGTAGCCGACGGCATGACTAGAGAGAGGTCACAAAGTTTGCATTGGAGAAGTTACAGTAATTTCTCTTAAAATGTATGGAAGCAGAGAAACTAGGTGAGTGGAAGACAGTGCACGAGACCTGCAGAACCGGGAACAGCAA